GAGGAATCCACAACCGGAACCTTCGGCTAGCCAAAGCCTGACCCGCAAGGTAGCTGGGCGGTATGTGCAAACCGCAGTCCATTAGGAGCCGGTGTCGAGTTCATCGGATCATACGCCTTTCGGACGGAGATCACTAGAACTCTGTGATGAGGCTGTAGTGGACCATGTAGACGGATAGTTTGCTGTCAGTGGAGTTGTTGACTTGGTGAGAGATGTGAAAGTCATAATCGGTGAACTGGTTTGAGTGTGTCTCGCTGGGTTTCTCGGTAGAAGTCGTTGAGATTCTTCCACTTTATTTTTAAAAGTTCTTAATCATTGGACCTTGTTATACATAGTGACGCTCATGTTCATTGTACAATTGCTTTCGTCGCTTCCTTTTTCTCCTACCGGTCTTCGTTCTGTTCGTTCATACAACTGGCTGATCAAGCTGAACGCAGAATGAGTGCATTTCTTTGTCAGGCTAGAAGTGGTCCCAATTGAATTCATAATAACTGTGTGTAAACTTTGTTCAGTTTGCTTGTCATAGGTGTTATCGTTACTTTTGCAAACTAATCACGGTCTTATTGCGATCAAACTATTCCCTTCCATCCACTGGTCATGGATACCACTTGCAACGCGGACTACTGGGTCGCAGAGTGTTTCAAATCAGCAAGTCGTACGCGATACAATGCACCGACATCGAACGATGGTTCGGTACCAAGTTTCTGTGTGTGGATATCTCACATGAGGATTTAAGTGTATGTGCTCATTCATTTTAAAATACCTATCTGGAACGCATAGTTAATCTATTTCACTATTTCCCCTGTTCTTGTAAGATTTTCGTTCTATCTCACATCCCCAGTATAGTTCAAATGAAAATGATTATCTGGGTCATTGGAATTTCCTTTGGAGCCCAGGTTCATGAGCATGTCTGAAAATGTATTTATAGCTTAGTGTGAGATCGCTTGGAGACAATCGCGTTAAAAAAGGTCCTTTGGGGTGTCATGGTTCCATTGGGAAAGTGTTTACTCTTTAGCCTAACCCAGTAGCCAGTCACAACATGTTACCGATGAACGGCCATCGTGAAACATTGAAGGAAAAACAATTGTATAAATGTGTTTTTCGAGCTCTATGCCACCACCAGATTGCACAGATCTTATGATTTGAACCTTTGATGTTTGCCTACCTGTAGTTCATGCAATACTTTTGGATCAGTTAGTTCCGAGTCGCGGTTACTAACACTGATCCCTTGGTCCGGAGCCTAGTTCCATTTAACCGATTGGAAATCATCAGCCCCGGTACCACTAGGTAATGTGATTTGGTACTCCTCAGATTGTCAGCAAACAATCTCTTCTATTACTACCATCCAAACCATTGTATACTGAGTTATGGGCTGTAATAAAAATAGTGTCTTTGAATTTTTCGGCACTTCATTTCATTATGTAATGTTCAGTGCGTCGCATAACAGGTGACCCTATTCATCACTGCGGTATACAATACAATACACAACTGACTCCTTCAGAGCTTATCAGTGGTCAAGTTAAACGAAGTCATCTGTTGTTGTACACATGTGCGCTTTACGCATGCATATTGCTTTGTCATTTATGGATAAATGCCTCGACTGTAATATTTTCCCCGGAAATGGGCTAAATAATGTTATTCAATAAAAGAGCATTGTGTCTTGCAATTGAATCATGGTGGAATCTAAAGCCTAAATCTAGTTCGAATGCACTCAGGAATGCTTCGTACACCTTTGTACCATTTGAGCTATGAAGCCACAGTTTGCTTTGCTCTGGTTGTTCATTCGTTGGATTTCGTTGATTCCAGGCGCAACGTGTTTTGTCAGTCATCCTTCATGCGATGTAATGTGTCCATACGTCTCTATAAGTCGTGTGATAACGAAATGCGGTCTGATCAGATTGATAAATGTGGCACCGTAGCTTGACTGTCAGAACTTATACTATACAGCGAAGTGCGTAGCGGGGGCTTTCAACATGAGGCAGATGAGTTAACAGGCATGTCTTGTGCGTGCAATGCAATCTTTAGAAATTGATGTCTGCTGCGTATCGGAGACACGAATTCAGGA